CTTTAGTATGTGTAATCTGAGATGGGTCATAGATGGTGGTCATTTCTTCCTTTGCTGAACTTAAACAAAAAATAATCTTGTAGACCTCTACTGGGAGGCCAAGGGCCCTTTGGATTCGTAGAATGCAGTTGCAGCTGCTTGTATTATTCTCAATGCTTTTTTTTCTCAATGAGTTTATATTCTATATTTTGGTATTTTTCGCTATAGTTTTTTAATCTTTCCCATAGAAATAAAAAAGACATAAAAAGAAAAATAAAGTCTAGGAGGAAATGAAAAGATTGAATACCAGAGCACCTCGAAAGTAAAACAACTGCCCGTTGCGAGGGGAGTGAGATTTACATCTTGTTAACTTTTAAGATACAGTTGAAACATTCTTCTGCCAGGAACTTTGTACATACCAGGGTTTATACAGGTTTTATGAATAAATGAGTATGGCTTTAATGAATGAATGGCTTTAAGAATAAAACAAGTACCATTGCTTTAATATAATTGGGTCCAAGTCTACATATTTTTAAAAAAAATTTTGTTATTATTTTTTTAACGGCAGGTGACGCTGAACATTCGTGTAATGAGTGGGATTTGAACCCGCAACCATTGGCTTTGCAGCCAAGAACACTAACCGCTCGGTCACCTGGCTTGCCCAAGAGAATGTTAAGATATTATATTTATAAATGTCGCAATCTCAGCTTGAAAAGAGAAATTTAAACTTTAATAAATGTTATTTTAATATAATTGTAAAAAATGTGTTAGACTCTTGGTAACCCCAAATATACTCCCAAATGCCTTCCCGTAAATATTTTCCATGCTTAGAATCAGTTTTTTTAAGATTAACGATTTAAAAGGATATATTAATGCTCTTAAGATTTTACGAGTCTATAATTTAAGTCTATATTCCAACAAGGTTGAAAGTGAGGGGGAAAAAACTTGAACCTACTATAAAATTACAGTCTAGTTATAACAGGGTTAGAAAATCCATAGTGTTGTAAACGTGACACATTAAAAATTTTTAAGAAGTTCATTCTATCAAATTATATTCTTCAGATTTGATTTGATTTTTTCCCCAGCGACTATGTCAATGTTTGAATTCGTAGACTCGTAATTTTGGAATCAACCCAAATTATAAGAGAGCAGCTCGATCAATCATTTCATTTCACATTACTCTATAACCATCTATGAACAGCCGACCTAAGTATTGGGTTTATGACTACCAATGTTCTACTCCATAGTCTTGTAATTTTGAATCCAATCCAGAAGACAAGGGAACACCTGGTTTAAGTATTGGGAGAAATTTGTCTTCGTGGAGGACTTTTTGATGGAGCTAACTTGCATTTGCGTTACACGGAGAGGACAATCACTCAAACTTCCCACAGTTAGCCAGACGCAAATGGGACTGTAATTCAGGATCCGTCTACCACTGAGGATATTTTCCGTCTGCACTGTGGTTGGTGCGAGCTGGTTGCGGAATTCGTATTGATCAGCCATCGCTGGGATTTGAACTCGGTTCACCTAATTTGAAGGCGGACGCTCTATCCCCTAAGCCTGTTAACCCGGTGGCAAGAAGACTCTAATCCCTGGTTCATTTACAACTGGGAATAGTTTTGTCAGCACTGTTTTAAGTTGGGACTGTATTTTCCAATTGGGGCTACCTGCCCTATTTTGAAGTTTCAGAAAGAATTTACATTTTTCACTGGATTTGATAAAATTAAAATTATTGTCTAAGCTTATAATCTACCATTTTTATGGTTGAATTCCGAAGCTTTTAAGTTTTATATTTAGAGCCTTAAAACCTTGGATTAAATTAAAAGTTTTTTTCATATTTTACTAAAATAAGAAATTTTTTTAAAAATGCTAAAAAAGATAATTTGTTGACAAATTGAATGTTCATGAAGACACGCAAAAACTAAAACTGCACTTGGTCGGGGTTAAAATTGTGTTGAGATTTGTATTTCAAATATCCGCATTTAACGATTAATCCAAATAAAAAACGCAGAATCAGATTAAACAGTAACACATAATAAATTACTTAACTATTAAATAATATTTTTAAAAAAAATTCTTTTATTTTTCTCCTTGTTATGGGTATTAACATTTCTTTGTTAGGAAATCAAACACTCGATTGAGCAGACAGCCAAAGACAGATTGTCTTTTGATGTCAAAGGAACTAATTGATCAAAGTTGTCATTCCAAAGAAATTCTCTGAACAATAGTATTTGTTATCCACATTGTCTCACAATTAATTGGCTTCTTGTTCTCAAATTGGTTTGGCTTGTAGCCATTTTGCAGTAAAGAGCGTCAGAATTAGCTCTTCTTCTTATTGCCTTCTCGGTGTAGAATCTTTTATATCTCCCAAGACAGGCATTCTGGGAACAGAGCTCCGTTGCCACTCTGCGGGGCATTAATTTTGGAAGAAAATTAGCGTCGTTGCCCGAACGTGCCTGGACGGGTAAAGAAGCTGGGGATTCCTTAGTGTTCGGATTAGGTAGGGTTTAGGCAATAATGGCTGATAGAGGTGTTCGAAATAAAGGAAGAACGTTTCAGGGTTTTGTTTCTGACAATATAAAAAGGCACTCAAGATATTGGATAGGTTGCCAAGGGATAAATTCTCTTCTGTTCGAATGATATTAAAAAAAATTGCAATAAAGAGTCCAATAACTTTAGAATATTTTTTTTTATCAAACTTAATAAGTAATAATAAAATCTTTTCATTCGAAATGGATTTTTTTAAATAGAAAAGAGGAATTTGCTTCGGCAAACAAGTAACGTTCTCCATTTTCTACTGTTGAGCAAAATATATGAAAAGCTGAGTGGGTGAACCAGGTACTTGACATTTTCAGAGAGGCTATAATCAGGGTAAGATGGAAAAAAGCGGCATCAGAACTATTTTATTGTAGAATTATTAGGAGATGGGGTTAATAATTCTTTGCCTCATCTTATTTACAACTACGTAATTTGAAGAAAGAAATCATACAAGCATACACAAAATTAGTTAGGATTAGTTTTGTTAATATTAAAGTAAAAACATAAAACAATTCTGTTACATTAATTAAATCCATGTTGTTGCAACTACTTCATGATATGATTTTCAACATAGAGTAGTATTAGATACCCAAAATCTTGGATACCAAAAATCAATTTCTAGGCATTCAGATTAAGTAGGGTTTTGGCAATAACGGCTGATAGAAATGTTCAATAAAGAGGGAAAATGTTCTAGGGTTTTGTTTCTGGCTATTAAAATGCGCCTTTAAATTATTGGATCAGCTTTCAAGGGATAAATTGTCTTCTGCCAGAATGATATTGATGATGATTTAATATTGATGACAATGGTGATGAAAAACAATTACATTAAAGAGCCAAATCATTTTCCTTCACAATTTTACACTTAAATAAAATTTTTCTTAAATAAAATTTCGAAATTAAATTATTTTCATACAAATTTTGAAAAAAAAGGAAAAGAAATTCGCTTTGGCAAACATCAACAAATGCCATTTTTCACTGACTTTGCAAATGTATGATTTTTAACATAAAGTGCATGTTTCTTTACCCTTCTGGAGGATAACTTTCTAAACTATACAAATTCTAAACCAAAGTTACCGTGTTTCCTCAAATCTGAGAATTTTATAACACTGGTAGTCTATATATTTCAAGACGAAAAAGAGCAAAAACTGGTAGGAAAATCATCTTATTATAGCTTGTTTTCGAAAAAAATTGTGAATGTGTACTTGCCAGAGAAGATGCAAAAAAAATGAACAGTTTCTTGTTAAGAATTGTAAGTGCTTATTTTAGAGGTTTCGCACGCTCCTTTAAGAAATTAAAAAACGGTAGCAAAAAAAAAAATTAGATAAAAAAATAGATATTAAACATAGTATTTCTTGACAAGTTTGTTTCCAATACTGTGCTTAATTTCTTTGGGACTGGCGAGTCATTAATGCAAAGATGCCAACTGCTCCGGACTCGCCAAAATAATTAAAGAAACGGTAAATAACTACAAAGTAGATTTTGCAAATATTTTACTATTTTTAATTGCTTTTTTAAATGGTATAGCATGACATAAGTACCATAAAGTGGTGATGATGCCAATGAATTATTTAGAAATAGTGGTGGATAAAAATCTACTAAATTGAAATTATTAAACCAAGAATCACAATTAATAAACTACCACTTTAAAATATATATTTCATGTCCGGAGCAAGTTGGCATCTCTGTAAATGCAATCGTATAAAACCCGAATAAAAGAAAAAAAAGCAGTAGCTAAATGTGGACATGTTTCTTGACAGACTCATTTTTGCTTTCATTTTAATTCAGAAGGTAATCAATATTAATTTAAAGTCTAACTATATAATATTTTTCCAATATATTATTCCAATATATATAATATTTTTCCAATATATTATTCATATATATAGAATATTTTCCCAATATATTATTCATATATATAGAATATTTTTCCAATATATTATACTTATAATTTCTCCAATTTGGCAACATTTTTCCATCTGGATGAAAATTATCAAAATCACTGCCTTATACTCAATTTTTGCAAATTTTTTTGAGCCCAAGTAATGCAGCATTAGAGAAAGTTTTTAAATATTAAAAAATTGGATCACAAACGCTCTTCATTTTCACAGAACTGTAGCTTTTCTCCATTTCGAAGTTTTGCCCCATTTTTAAAATAAGCGTAGATTGCGCTTTATTTAGATAAGTTGAACTTGACCTATCAATCATGAGTAACTGTTGCAAACTTACAACAGCTATAACAATTACATATTATTCGCAAAAAGCACAATTTCATAACACGTAAAACAGCCTTAACACGTAAAACAGCCTTCGTAAAACAGCCTTAAAATAGAAGTTAATAACCCTGATTTGAAAAGCAAGATGGGCACTTTGGGGAATGTTATATACCTTTAGATAATAAATTTTATAAATATTATTATTTATTAATTTTGCATCATAATCAATTAACAGGTTGATTAAATTGAAGATACATGTTCTTATTTTAGTTCTAAAAGAAATCATCTTCAAGCTGCGACAGGTAAGGGTAATGTATTTCAAATAGTATTTTTTTTTTGCATTATCTTTAATTTTTAAAGCATTTTTGAAAGTTTTTACAGCATAGTAGAATTAACATTCTTCTATAATACCAATTTTTTCAGTTCTATTTTAACTCATTCAATAATTAATTTTCATTTTGAAAAAACACAAAGCAGGGTAAATACAGGTACGAAGCCTGGAATTGGTGGAGCACTTTTTCTCATCTTACAACCATTTTTAAAACTTTTAGCGACATTATGAATTTTGATTATTTTTTTCTTTACCAAATTGAGTGGCAAAATTTTTAGAACGATCGTTTTGACACATCAGCAAACTGTAATAACAATAACGCAATTTCCATACGAATGGAGACTATTCGAGGTGACGTCACTCATTCGATCATCGTAACATCTATTCTTTATTGACGAATGTTCGTCGATAATTGCGGTCTGGGGTGCCCCCAGCGTTATTCTTGGCTACTACCAACTTTGGAAAAGGAATAAAGCTGTGAATTCCTGCCTTTTTCCCAAAGCTTATTATCTAAAGGGGTGGAAGAGCACCTTGGAAAGATGGGGAGGAGAGGTGGAGAATGTAGTAGGCCACCCCTTCAGCCAAAACGGTGACCGATTTCATTAGGCTGCCTAATTGAACGAGCAAATACTTGGACCCTAGGGGGGCATCCGAAAGGAACATCGTTAGCTGACGTGAATTCCTTGGGGCGGACAAAAGGGGCATACGAAATAAGTTTTTNATATATATATATATATATATATATATATATATATATATATATATATATATATATATATATATATATATATATATATATATATATATATATATATATATATATATATATATATATATATATATATATATATATATATATATATATATATATATATATATATATATATATATATATATATATATATATATATATATATATATATATATATATATATATATATATATATATATATATATATATATATATATATATATATATATATATATATATATATATATATATATATATATATATATATATATATATATATATATATATATATATATATATATATATATATATATATATATATATATATATATATATATATATATATATATATATATATATATATATATATATATATATATATATATATATATATATATATATATATATATATATATATATATATATATATATATATATATATATATATATATATATATATATATATATATATATATATATATATATATATATATATATATATATATATATATATATATATATATATATATATATATATATATATATATATATATATATATATATATATATATATATATATATATATATATATATATATATATATATATATATATATATATATATATATATATATATATATATATATATATATATATATATATATATATATATATATATATATATATATATATATATATATATATATATATATATATATATATATATATATATATATATATATATATATATATATATATATATATATATATATATATATATATATATATATATATATATATATATATATATATATATATATATATATATATATATATATATATATATATATATATATATATATATATATATATATATATATATATATATATATATATATATATATATATATATATATATATATATATATATATATATATATATATATATATATATATATATATATATATATATATATATATATATATATATATATATATATATATATATATATATATATATATATATATATATATATATATATATATATATATATATATATATATATATATATATATATATATATATATATATATATATATATATATATATATATATATATATATATATATATATATATATATATATATATATATATATATATATATATATATATATATATATATATATATATATATATATATATATATATATATATATATATATATATATATATATATATATATATATATATATATATATATATATATATATATATATATATATATATATATATATATATATATATATATATATATATATATATATATATATATATATATATATATATATATATATATATATATATATATATATATATATATATATATATATATATATATATATATATATATATATATATATATATATATATATATATATATATATATATATATATATACGACTACCAATGTTCAACTCCGTAGCCTTGCAATTTTGAACTCAATCCAGAAGACAAAGAAACTCCTGGTTAATGTATCGGGAAAAATTTTGCGAAACTAATTTTTTTGGGAAACTAACCCTTATTTGCGTTACACGGAGAAGAAAATCCCGAAAACCTCCCACGATTAGCCTAACGGCGAAGGGACTCTTACCCATGATCCGTCTACCACTTATGATATTTTACTTTAACACTATGGTCAGTACGAGCTGGATGCGGAATTCGAATCGACTCGCCATCACTGGATTTTGAAGCCAATTAACTTTTTTTTGCATACATTTTACTGTATTTATAGTATTTCAAGATCTCCATTTTCTAAAAAAGTTCGTCAAAATAATTGAAAACTTTGGAATACCTCAGTTGCATGAATAATTTGGTTCTTGTCTCCATATAGGGAAAATTTATTTATTTTTTGAGCACATTTTATTGTACTCATTTTATCTGAAGATCTTCAGTTTCCAAAGCAATTTTTCAAAATAATTGAAAATAAGTAATACCTCAGTTGTATGGAAAAGTTTGTTCTTGTGTCTGTATACAGAAAACAACTGTTATTTCTGGCTCTTATTTCACTAAGAGTTTATTGAGGTATTTTATGAGTTTTTCTGTTGATTAAACATCCGATTTTGTTATGGCTCCCTGTGGTATACATATTCTCAGGCAAACCATTGGGAAAATCCTAGACATAATAGGAGACGAGAATTATTCTAGTCACGAAACTCCTATAAAGATAGAAGAGTGGGAAGAATTTTTTTTTGTCGAACAATGAAAGGTACTTCAGGTTACTTATTGAGTTGTTTGCTACCTCGAATGTCTTTAAATTAACTCAGTTAAATTTTGTAAATAAAAAAAAGAAACAAACTTAAGATGTACGTTAGAATTCTGTTTAAATAAAGAACAGAAGTAAAAAGACAGAGGAAATGAAAATTAATGCTTAAATGGGAAACAAAAAACGATATCGAAATCTGCCGCATCTCTTGTGAGGAAGGCGGTCATATTTTTTTCCAGCGGAAACAGTAATAAATTCAAAGATTATTATTTGAAACATATCGAAGTTTCATTAGACATTCAAACTGGTTTTGTTAATTGTAAATCTAATTAGAAATGTTGATTACTATCCAAGTATATTTAAACAATGTTCAAAAGATTTCTTTTTTTTCTTCTTTCAATCATAATTTCTTATCATCTACGCTTAATCTGTCACCTTTTTAAATTTATTTTAAGTTTTAAAGTTCATTGTTTTACGTCGTGTTCAGATTAAAATAATATCAACAGTTATGTGGTTCAGCTTACAAATGATGTATCCGAAAATGAAATATTTAAAAAAAAAATACTGACGAAATATTTTTGCATGGTAACTATTTCTCCAAAAGCATAAAAAGCATATTATAGCATAAATTTCTTGGAATTTATATTTAAAAATCTACTGATGGTGCTATAGTTTTCCGACATTGTCGGTACATTTGATTCGGCATGAAAATCACGTTTTAGAATTCAGTTTTCCCACATTAATTTCCATACTTCGTTTGGTTGACATAAGTATAAAGTTGATGAAAGCCATAAAACCAATTGCTTACCTCCAAAATATTTTTGTATCCCAAATTTTAAAGGTATCTACCAATAATTTTTTTCTAATTTTACTGTGCTATCATTACGCGTTTGATTATGATTGTTTTATTAATTAAGAATTAAAGATTATAAGAGTTATTCCTCCGTCATAAGTTATAATTCTATGATATTACCTTGTTACGCTAAATTTTAAGAAAAATTAATTTGAAACGGTGTTTGAACTTACTTACCACTTTATAATTATTATTTTTCGGTGTAAAATACATAAATATGTTATTTTGAATTATCTTTAAAAGGATTCGTTAAATGATTTAGAACTTAATGATCAACTTCATGCATCATGTGATGCATATACGAATTGTGCTCAATATATCACCTTGTTTGATTAGCAAAAATATTAAATTACTGTTTCGAATTCACGAATTTTGCTTCAACAATATGTATCTTTTATTTTAAATGTTATTTTAAAAAAATTGATTACCAAGCAAAATTATTTATGATCATTAATAGATCTTAATAGAATCATTAGGGAGGGAAAAAGAATCATACGAGATCTTTACAACTATCTATCAATCAAATTTGACTCACACACAAAATAATAATTCAATTTAAAAGTAATGAATGTTAGACGTGGGAAACGAGCGTAGAAGTCTACGCAAACAAAATTCTTTATACTATTTATATTTTTAAAAAAAGTAATTACAACTTTCGTGGAAAAAAAATTATTTCATGCAAAGAAACAACAATTATTGCGAAGCAATCATCGGAGTTTATGAATGGCAACCAACAGGGAGCTTAACCCCCTAGTAAATAATAATATTGGTATACTGAAACTGTCTTTGATTTTAAAAAAAACCATAATCTCTTTTCAAATCAAATAATAATCTCTTTCATTACACCTCTTTAAACAAGCAAAATCTACAACGATTATTTTTCTTTAAAATAAACTTTTCGGTAAAAATCCTAAAAGGAATTATTTAATCCAAAAACTCAAAACTGTATTTGAATTAAAAATGAAACTCGCTCTAATCTCTTTTTAAATCAGACAATGACTATTTTTTTTTGTTTCTGCATCTCTTTAAAATGCAAATAGTTTCATTCACAGGTACTCCGTTACTTTTGAAAGAACGGGGGTACCAATGATGTGCCACTGATTGTGTGGG